ACCTTGCCCATCTTGTCTGTGCTCCGCAGTGGTTCCTCAGGGTCCACTGACGATCCACAAAAACTGAAGCTTGACCTCTTCTGCTTTTCTCTTCCAACACCTCTGCTATTTTGCCACACTCTTTAAGACTGCATTCACACTTCGGGTCACAAAGATTGTTCAACTCCGTGTCGTTTTTTTTTTTTTTTTTTCACCTAATCCCGAGCATTAATAATCACAGTTCAGATGCCTCTGTCACATTTTTTTTCTTTCTGGCAGATCTATTAAATTCTTTGACTCGCGCTGTGCCAGTGATTCACGCCCATACGGTGTGTTCAGCATGAAATCCACACAACTCGTCAACTCACGATGGCAAATCCACTCACACGTGCACCGCACTTCGACCGCAACGCCGGGTGCGGGCTTCACACGGCGCGATGCCATGCAGGAAATCATGTCATTGTTGTTGTTTATAAACGCCCTCCACAATTACAGCCCATGGATACTGACACTCGTTTCACCAAACAGATATTTACCACCCCCAGGTAATCCACCCCCCACACACACACACACACACACACTCGTTGACTCCTTCAGGCATCGCTAAAGTATCAACACCATCTGGTCCACACCCTGTATGTTCACACGAGAAATGTGCATTGGTCACGTTGTAATTCTTGTTGATTGTGTTCTAGAAGTTTTTTAACTCGTGTTGCTTTTCAGCACAACAGGCACGGGGATTTATCATTTTTATTCAACTTGCGTTAGAAGATTGGATCAAATATGATGCCATGGGATCTCCCAACTAGAGATAAGATCGGTCCTAAAAAAACGAGCCCGACCCGAACCGGCCCGAGTGTATTTAAGCCCGACCCGGCCCGAGCCCGATCACTTAGCTCGATTTGCAGGCCCGAGCCCGAAGCAAACCCGACATTTTATATTTTATTTGTGAGGACTCGGGAGGAGGAGGGGTGATTTCTGATAACAAAGCCTGTCTTTTGGAACGAAATCTAAGTTAAACAAGACTGTACAAACATTTACATCTTTTATATTTCTGTTTCTGAAGAGGTTACATTAACCGACAATTTTCTATCATTGACGGATTTTTTTTAAGAGTGGACGGGGAAAATTTAAGGCCGTCCGTCATTTTGACGGGTTGAAAATTGGGCCGTAAACCACCGCAGCAGTACGTCCTTAAGAATCGAGCGCGGTACTATATGAGAGAGAAGCAGAGAGACAAAAAAGAATAATGATGGGTGGATCATAGACAGAGACAGGAAGGAGTTCTTTGAATTGTCATTGCAAGAGTTTAGTACAGTACATGTTGTGATGAGGCGACTTCTGTTTTTTTTTTGCGAACCACGGTCTCTCGTGGCCAAAACTACTGACGGCCTCGAAAAAAAAAAAAAAGTCAGCGAGAGAGAAGCCTGACCCGAACCCGAACCAATGATTGACATTTTTGGTCGGGTCGGGCTCGGGCTCGGGCGGCCCAATCTTACCTCTACTCCCAACATGATTACATGCTGGGTGAACAATTTGTCTGACTTTCTAAACAGTGTTTGCCGTCGAGATTGATTGTTTTGGGGATTTTTTTTCCCCCACAAAAATTAAGAGTATGAGAGTTCTATTAAATCAACGGCATGGGGACAATAAAGACAAGGGAGGAGAAAATAACCCAAAAAGATTCACTGCACGGCGCTAGACGTGGTTCAACACAATCAGCTGTTATGCTCCGCTACTGGTGATCATCTCCGACTGGCACTGAAACACTTGGTACAAACCCCGTGAGGAGATACAGAACAAAGCAAAAGACACTGGGAGTTAATGCTTGCATTTTAAGGCGGTGGACTTGGAGATTTCATTTTATCATAAGGTTTCTATATGCCTATGAAAAGCCTTCTGTGTTCTATCGAGAAATTTCAGGGTCATTGGAGCTCATTGGCGTTTGGTGGGCCTGAATATTCCTGCTTTCCAACTCCTGGTCACACAGTCTGTTGTGCTCATTTATGCTTTTGTCACTCTTGACTGGCAACTTCAACATTTGTCATTTTCTGTCCTTACAGATCCAGTTCTTCAAGTCCCCACGCATGTTGCAGAGTACGTAATTTACGTGAACAATGGTTCAACGTATTTATAACATTTGAACTTCCTTTAATGTAGCTTTCAGTAGTTGCTCTGAATTATACTTGTCATTCGGGTAATGGCACTGTTTTGTTTTTTTTTTTTGTTTTTTTTCCCTGTTCCTTCCAGGCCAGCCTTTCTGCCTGATCCCAACGATGGCAGTCTGTATTCTCTGGGTGGAAAGAACAATGAAGGCCTGACAGTAAGAGGAAATGACTTTAGCACAAATAGTGTGCTCTCACTTCTCGCTCACTCTCGTATGTTATCATAAAATAACGAGGGCATTCCGGTTCGCTCATGTTTGTTTGTTTGTTCTCAAACAGAAATTACCGTTCACTATTCCTGAGTTGGTGCAAGCGTCTCCCTGCCGCAGTACTGATGGAATCCTTTACATGGGTAATGCTGATTATAGAATCTTTCTCTTCCGCCCCATACTCTGTGTCTATTAAAAAGTACAATACATGAAAAATAATGAGTTTTACGGAGGGAAATCGAAATATCTAAAAATATCCAGTAAGTGCAGATCTAGTGTCAATACAATCTATTATGATGCCCATCAATCCTTAATCCGTCAGACGTTCTTCATCACTTGCATTATCACGTGAATGGTGACTGACAAATTGTTTTGTGTGTGTGTGTGTGTGTGTGTGTGTGTGTGTGTGTGTGTGTGTGCGTGTGCGTGTGCGTGTGTGTAGGTAAGAAGCAGGACCTCTGGCACGTGGTGGACCTGTTGACTGGTGAGAAGCAGCAGACGCTGACTTCGTCCTTTGCCGACATGCTGTGCCCTTCCTCCTCTCTCCTCTATCTGGGGCGCACAGGTGAAAAGAACAAACATATTTTCTCACGTGCATTTGAACGTGCAACTTTAAATGCCCCTTCAAGGTGTTACATCACAAGAAGAGAAAAGGGCTTAGTAATGGTATTTGGGTGTTTGACACATGACACCACCTATTCAAAATGAAGTTTCACTTTTCAACCCACTTGTATGCATTGACATCCTGAAATAGATCGTGGGCACTTTCCGCCATCCCATTCCTGATGTTACATAAGCAAAACAATGCATTTACTCTCCCATGTCTTGTGTCCCTGTTGTAGAATATACCATCACCATGTATGACACCAAAAGCCGAGAGCTGCGGTGGAATGCCACTTATTCGGACTACGCCTCCACCCTTCCCGATGATGACACCAAATACAGTAAGTCACCGAGCTGCGTTCGCTCTGTCGTGACTTTATCTGACGCGAATCCGCTCCCTGGTGACCCCGCAGAGATGGCCCATTTTGTGTCGAATGGCGACGGCCTGGTGGTGACGGTGGACAGCGAATCCGGTGACGTCCAGTGGGTCCAAAACTACAACTCGCCTGTCGTGGCCATGTACATCTGGCAGCGTGAGGGCCTCCGCAAAGTCGTTCACACCAACGTGGCCGTGGAAACCCTGCGCTATCTTACGTTCATGTCTGGAGAGATGGGCCGTATCACCCAGTGGAAGTACCCCTTTCCGAAGGAGAAGAAGACAGACAATAAGTTAATGTAAGCAAACTGAGTCCACTCCATATGCTCTTTCTTTGCTGTCACAAATTTTGGAATTCTCTCTTTACGCAGTCGTCACGTGCATCGTGACAAATGCCCTCGTGGCCATCTGCATTGACATAGGTCATGTTTTATTCTTGCTTCACCCCCAAAATTGTTTACGTTGAATCAACAGCAACTCAACTCAATTTTATTTGAAGAACACTTCAGATGAAATACAGCAAAGCACATCAATACAAAGTACACGTAAAACATAAAAACAATTTAAATGGAGACCGGCCAGAATAGGATTTACATGCTTCCTCTTCAGCATTCCAGTTAAAGTAAGAACAGCTGAGATTTGACCCAGATGGAGACGTTTGACGGAGGGTTGGCTGACTCCAAAATAAAGTGCATTACAGTAAATCATACAGCCAAGATGTGATAAAGGCAACGCATTACGGTACAGCAGGCAAGTTGTGCACTCCATTTTGGCTCAATTACTTGATGATTCAATTCAACACAGTTGACTGAAATTTCTCATGCCCATCCCTAGTGCGGAGTGTGGGGTATCCCAGTAGCAGTACACAATGCTTCTTTAACTCTGCAGTAGATTCCCCGAATGATTATTTTTTTTATTGAGTTCACATCTGCTCTTGTTTGTTTCAAACATGAAAAACAGTACTTTCAGTTGTTGGTTTTCAGTTTTGGAAAGCATAGAATGTTCATTTTCATTTTCAGTCTGTAGCTCATTTCCCTTAATCGGTTGTACACATGATTAATCACAAGTGAATGTGGTGCCAGATATACATATCAAATATATATAAATATATATATAATGTTATTGTTATTTTTATTTTAACTGTTTCAGGTCCACTTTGTATGTGGGTAAATATTCCACCAGCCTGTATGCGTCTCCCTCTCTGGTGCACGATGGAGTCACGGTGGTGGTGAGTGACTCTTGTGTTGTTAACGCTCCTGAATATTAAGACATGAACATATTACATGTACATATTCATGTTTAGTTTCCCAAGGACTAGCATCAATTTTTATTCATGTACTGAGCCCCTGATAGAAAAAAAATATTGGAGCACTGTTTTGGGAGAACACATGCCTTTATTGTATTGTTCGGATTCCCATGACAGGAAAACATTTCTGGATTCCTTAACTCATTCAATCCCCATTCTGTATAAATACGTCTTGAGAACCAGCTACAGCTTGCTACCCATGACGTACTTATACGTCATTTCCTTTATTTTGCACCATAGCGTGCAGAAGGGTCTGAGACAGCCTCTGATTATGTATCAGGGTTGTCTGCATTGTAAGTTTCATTTAAAATCTGTCCAGACTTGTGTCCGGTGGAGTAGCGTGTAATTAGTTAGTAGAGGGTGCATTTGAACCAGTAGCGATGGAGAAATCAAAACAATTATATGCAACCTTTGAAGATTGCTTTTCGGGGAGAAAATCTTCCACCATGACGCGGGGCGGAATTTTATAAGTATCAAGTTGCTTTCGTCCGCCCAAAAGTAAGAAGTCGCCATCAAAAGAGGCTGCGTGTGCACGAACATCGTCTGCCTCGTGCAAAAGCCACACCGCAGCGAAAGTGCCTTCGCAAGAGCAAGTGAAGTGAAACCAGAATGCGGTGTAAGACATGTTGTGTGACCTCATATTAGGGCAATTGCTTCATTTTGTATCACACACAAAAAAAATATGCACAAATTGCAGGTTGAAGGGGACACACGCGTGCAAACATAGACGTACACATAGGGACTGAACTCATTGTTTCACTTCTGTTCAAAGTTCATTTCATCAGTTCAATAGAGTGCAGATAAATATTTTTGCTGTCAATTGTGTATGTTGTTTTTTAGAAGGAAGGAAAGTCTTATTTAGATGTTTGAGTTGTCCCAAAAGCAAAAAATAGTGGCGCCATACTTGAAATGCATGCTTTTGCAAAATGGTCCCTTTTTCCATTTTCCTCCAAAAATGGAAATCTGATGAAATTTAGCCATTTTCTCCTGATTGATTTCAAAAGATAGAAACAGCCTTTTTTCAGCAGAAAGAGGAGATTCTCATCTTTCTTTTAGTAGCCTGCAGGTTTATATCGCAATCGAACACAGTAATCTGTAGGCCTTTCAAATCAGTTAAAATCCAGTAAAATGGGTGGGATTGAATGAGTTAAATATTTGTTTGCATGTGCAGCCTCGGGGAAGCACCTTCCCAATGCTGGAGGGTCCAGACAGGCAGGAGACAGATGAGGACGAAGAGTGTGTCATTACGCCGAGCACCAGTGTTAAGTTCAACTCTGCACTGCGCGGGCGCAACCGCATTAACTACATGCGTAACTACCTGCTGCTCATCGGTACGATAGATGACTTTATACATTTAGCAAAACGGATACTGTTTGCCATTTCAAACATGAAAGACTCATTTTTAAGGTCATCACGAGACACCTCCTGAAGCTCACAACAAGATCCTGGAAAGATTCCCTGACAGCTTTCCTCGTAACCAGGCCAACGTCATTCCACCAAGTAGTAACAAGAAAGCTGAGGAGGTGAGTGGACGTGTGTGTGTGTGTGTGTGTGTGTGTGTGTGTGTGTGTGTGTGTGTGTGTGTGCGTGCGCACGCGCCACTTTTTTTTTTTAATTGGATTTCACTGTATTGTGTAAATGTGTACCACATGCTGTGGTCCTCAAGGGTAAATAATTGTTTTTTACGCCACTTGCTGTCTTCATTTTGTAGAATGTGAAAAATGTTGTCATGGAGGACATTCCGCCTTCCGCTATGCCTGAAATGTCAATCCAAGAACCCGGGCTTGGTGGTCGCACTGTTCGTCCAGAAGCCTCTGTGGACTCCATGCTGAAAGACATGGCCACCATTATCTTTTCCACTTTCCTCCTGGCGGGTTGGGTGGCCTTTGTGATCACGTACCCCAAGGCAAGTAATATATGAGTACCTCCATCTAGACAAATAAATACAGTGGTACCTCTACTTACAAAATGAATTGGTTCCGGAAGAGATTTCTTAACTAGAAAATTTTGTAAGTCGAGATGCGTTTTCCGTGTAAATGCCCCAATCCGTTCCAAGCCCCCCAAAATTCAGACATAAATGTTTTCTAAAGCTTAAAAATGCATTAAAATATGTAACAAATGCATGCAACTAATTCGATTTTTGCACAATAAATGAGAGTTGTGCATAATGTAAAAAACAAAGAATAAAGAATAAAAATTGCGGTCATTTAACTTTTAACTGCCTCCTCGTTTTTTGCCCTCTTTGGTTCATGTTCTTTCTCAGAAGTGGTTTTTGCCTGTAGTTATGTCAAGAACTGAGCAAAGGACGTCTGCTTTTGTCGGCTTTTAACAATCCTTCGAAAATGTCCAAGGCAAACATCAGCAGAGTGAGCAATCGCCCGACTAGTGAACACTTTTTCTGGGGATTCACATTTACGTAAAACTATCAGAACACCTCATGGCCTGAGAGGCGAATGACAAGGACACTGCATAAGCACACATCTATCTATCGACACAGACACATCCGGTAGAGATCCCTCTTAGCCAATGGGATGCCAGGATGATGCTTGGGAATAGCCAATGGCAGAGTAGCGATAAATATCTTGCGCTCAGGAAAATCTTGAGCTGCGAGTAGCAACCCATACTGTGTTTTTACCTTTCGTATCTTGAACTTTCGTAACTAGAGGCAATATTTTCCTCTTGAGGCGTTTCGTACCTTGAAAATCTCGTATGAAGAGACATTTGTAAGTAGAGGTACCACTGTACCGCCAATGTGTGTGTTCTATAACTCATAGTCGTACACAAGTCTGCAGCTGCTCTAGATTGCCTTTAAATGAAAACAAGAACTATGTTGAAGTGGTGTGTCGGAGCTTTTATGTCCTCTTTTGTTGCAGAGTGTTCACAAGCAGCAGCAGCTGCAGCACCAGGAGTTCCAACGACGGATGGCTGAACGATTGGAGATGCTGCAGAGGCAGCAGCCTTTCCCCGCTGCGGACATGTCGCTTCCTCTGGTCCCGGACAGCGACTACCTGGAAGTGGCTCACACTCGCTCGGAATGCTCGGACCACAGCAGCCCAAACGTCACCCCGCGTGCCTCCAACCACTCCAATCTCTCCGTTTCCGAGCTGGGCAGCTCTGCCAATGAACACGAGGATGGAGGTGAAGTCAAGATGCCATTAACACTCATTGCTTGTGTGTGTCTGTAGAAAAGACCCTTTTGACCGTTTGCTCTTTTTGTCGCATTAGAGGACGAGTCGAACATTGTCAGAGTGGGCAACATCAAGTTCCATCCCAAACAGGTGTTGGGTCATGGTGCTGAGGGTACCATTGTATACAAGTAAGTATGAAAATGACAGGATATTGTTGTTGGGGTGGCCTATACAACCCATATAACCTCCACCAGGGGTCAGTTTGACAACCGTCCGGTGGCGGTGAAAAGAATTCTCCCGGAGTGCTTCAGCTTTGCAGACCGGGAAGTTCAGCTGCTGCGGGAGTCGGACGAGCACCCGAACGTCATTCGGTACTTCTGCACCGAGAGGGACCGCCAGTTCCAGTACATTGCCACCGAGCTATGTGCTGCCTCTCTTCAAGAGGTTTCACAATAATTCATTCTAATATTTATTTTGGACATTAAAGTTTTTTTATGTATGAAGCTATGTTCTAAGGATAACTCTTTTTGGGTTTGTCTAGTATGTGGAGATGAGAGATTTTGACCGTCATGGACTGGAGCCGGTTATGCTGCTGCAACAGGCCATATCAGGACTGGCTCATCTGCACTCCCTCAACATAGGTAATTGTTTTAAAATGGTTGTTCCGCATTAGCGGCTGCATTACACTGTTAATCCATCTCCACCTCAACTTTGACCTCGCCCTGCAGTCCACAGAGACCTGAAACCTCACAATATCTTAGTGTCCATGCCCAACGCCCATGGTCGGGTCCGGGCCATGATCTCAGACTTTGGCTTGTGCAAGAAATTAGCAGCAGGCCGCCATAGTTTCAGCAGAAGGTCCGGAGTGCCAGGGACGGAGGGCTGGATCGCTCCCGAGGTTCTCAGCGAGGACTGCAAAGACAACCCGGTGAGTTCAAATCATCCGTTTCGGGCCTGAAAAAAAAAATTCGGTCTACCTCTAGCGTACAATATAATCGTGATGTATTCTTAGCTTTACCTTGCCCCAAATGACATATCCTGCCATTTTTTTCCTGCTTTATAATAATTTTACAGGATAAATGGTACACATTCTTGAATGTTACATGAAGCACTATTTATTTGAATTATTTGCACTTTACTGCATTCCGTAAAAAGTGATTTTACAACCATATATTTTAATGGGGGCGGCCCGGTGCTCGACTGGTTAGCACGTCAGCCTCACAGTGCAGGGGTGCAGAGCCTGCGTGGGTTTTCTTCAGGTACTACGGTTTCCACCCACCTTCCAAAAACATGCATGGCATGTCAATGGATCATTCTAAATTGGCCCTAGGTGTGACTGTGACCGCGGATTGTTGTTCATCTATATGTGCCCTGCAATTGGCTGGCAACCAGTTCAGGGTGTACCCCACCTACGGCCTGAAGACAGCTGGGATAGGCTCCAGCACGCCCCGCGACCCATGTGAGGATAAGGGCATCAGAAAATGGATGGATGGATATTTTAATGGCATTTGTTTGGCCAGTTGCTCCGGTTTCCTCCCACATTCCAAAAACATGCATGGTAGGCTGATTGAAGACTCTAAATTGTCCCTAGGTGTGAATGTGAGCGTGGATGGTTGTTCGTCTCTGTGTGCCCTGCGATTGGCTGGCTACCGATTCAGGGTGTACCCCGCCTACTGCCCGAGGACGGCTGGGATAGGCTCCAGCACCCCCCACGACCCTAGTGAGGATCAAGCGGTTCGGAAAATGAATGAATGAATGAATGAATGTTTGGCCAATGGATATTTGTGCTTTGTTTTATTTTATTGATCGTTTATTCTTTTAATCAGGTGGTCAATATAAAATATGCTTTATAAATAAATGGAGAAAATTGCCATTAATGTTAATGTCATTTTAAGGTACAATTTTTTTTTGGGAGGATACACTGTATATTATCAGGATATAAAATTACCATTTAGGAAATCACATTTTGTCCAAATTCCACAGCTCTTATTTAAAGTGTCATGGCAGATATGCATCATATGTATTATTTGAATGGGGTAGGGGGGACTGCCGCATGCACGAATGAATTGAGGCACGGCTAAATAAGTGTGAAGAGTTGAAATTCACTCCAGATGTTTTTTTCCCCTCTCGTTTTTAAGACGTGCACTGTTGATATCTTCTCTGCTGGATGCGTCTTCTACTACGTGGTATCTCAAGGTAGCCATCCTTTCGGCAAGTCACTGCAAAGGCAAGCCAACATCCTTTTGGGAACATACAGCCTCGATCATCTGCAGACCGACAAACATGGTGAGGCCTAAACCAAACTGTTGGGTTCATAGCAAGGCTTTGTGGAGATTTGTGAGCACCTCATCATGGCCTGTGTCATTTTCTTGAACCAGGCGACATTGTAGCCCGAAACCTGATAGAGCAGATGCTGAGCATGGATCCTCATCTCAGGCCGTCGGCCGAGTGTGTTCTCAAACACCCTTTCTTCTGGAGTCTGGAGAAGGAACTACAGTTCTTCCAGGTCTTTTTTTGCTTACGATAGTCAAAGTTGCTAACAAATTGAGACACATTTTACAGGAGTGCAGATAATGTAAATGCTGGGAGTGGATTATTACAGAGCGGGCCATGCCGTACAATATAGTTGTGCGTTTGTTGCCACTTGCAGGATGTGAGTGACAGAATCGAGAAGGAGCCGCTGGACGGAGCGATTGTGAGACAGCTGGAGCGAGGAGGGCGGGCTGTGGTCAAGAGTGACTGGAGGGAACACATCACCGTGCCGCTGCAAACGGGTAGGACACAAGTTTCCAATGCAAACATCTTTTTTATATATATATATATATATATATAAAAAGATCTTATATATCTTCTCGTAGGCATGAGCGATTAAGCCATTTCGTTAGTTGAGTGTATTGCTACGGGTGAGACCTGATTTTTAAAAATGTCAAATGAGCCGTGGCTAAGGGCTCATTTGATGTTAAATTGGTTGAATATTTAAGATGGTAATTCATTAAGGATCAAAACAGGCTTTTTGTCCCCTTATAATTTCTGTGGAAGTTGGTGTAAGTTAATAAAAAATAAATCATCTGATTGATGCAAAGCTTTTTAGGGATCAGGGGAAATCAAATTTCAAAAGGGGGGGGGGGGCCAAACTTGTTACCTAAATGTCACGTGTTTTATCTAAAAGTCAAGGGGGGGAAAAATCGAATAAAATTGTTTCTTTGTGAAATTCTTACAATTATTTGTTTCATTATTAAAGCACTGTTCTACAGCATTGTCCCCTGTGGCATTTTGCGTTGTGTGTTCGTATTAAGTTAGAAGTATTTGCTAGGCTACGTGGTGTTTATTTTTTTTTTTTAACTCAACGCGCAATTCTCATTGCTTACAGACCTGAGAAAGTTCCGTTCCTACAAAGGCAGCTCAGTCAGAGACCTCCTCCGTGCAATGAGGAACAAAGTAAGATTGTGCTCTCCTTATTTGTGTGCACTGCTTAATGACCGGAGCATTTGAAAGCCTGAGACTTGTCGTTGTTTGAACAGAAACATCATTACCGAGAGTTACCTGCCGAGGTCCAGGAGACACTGGGCTCCATCCCTGATGACTTTGTTTCCTACTTCACGTCTCGTTTCCCCCACCTGCTAATGCACACATACCTGGCCATGCGGACCTGCGCGACAGAGAGGTTCTTCCTGCCTTACTATTCCAAAATGGCAAAAGTGGACCATCCGCCACAAAGCCAATCACCGTCAACAGACATGTTACAACCACAAGAATCCACACATGCGTCACAAGTGGACGCGCAGGAGGGACATGGCCCCGTAGGACCACACGAACCCGCTGCTTTTTTAGACCCGCCAGTCGAGTCTGCGGAAGCATCACCGTCAGACCTGGACTGGCACACGCTTGCCTCGGAACCCCTGACATCTCATCTCCGGTTAAACGGGTCCAGCTTGCCAGACGGTGGAGCAGCGTGAACGCAGTCATCCACATCTCGTACAAAATTGGGGAGTTTCGCCTTAAAGAGTCGTGGGCCAGTTGCGAAGTTTTGTGCCAGTGAGGACCAGGCCTGCAGTGCCTGGGAGCCGCTTGGCCAGAACAGCTGCTGCACCGTGAATCAAATAAGTGCCTTCTGGGTTCAATACAAAAGAACTATTCGCAAGTTTGACAACTAAAAAGGTTGTTTGACTATGTGTCGTGCTGAACTGATTTTATTTTATTTTTTAAATATCAAGTCCAAAAATAGTATTTGTCCTTAAAATGTAGGAATTGTTGACGATTATTGTTGAACATGTGGGGTCTTTTATTGTGCAATGTTGTATTTTGCAGTACGTTTGTACACTGCCCAGATATTGTATGAATATTTTTATAGATTTGATCCATGTGGCAAATGTGCCTTTTCAAAACAAAACAAAAAAAGTAATAACTCAACAGAAGAAAGAAAAACAAGGTGTCCATGTGCTCTTTAGCTCCAGATGGTTCTAATTGACCATTGTAAATCTGCTTGGTAATGCTGCTAGCGCTTCTCTTTCATCAGTCACAACTGTTGTGCCGATGCGCTACATGTGGACTGTCTTCTGAGGTTTTCAGGACCGGAATACTGCAGGTAATTTTTTTAAAAAATGATGTGATTATCTATTCAATTATGTCTTTTAAGGTCAGTCTGCAGAACGCTCGTGCTTCGGAGCGTTCCACACGTGTCAAAGTGAAGTTGATGACTTGCACATTAAATTCTATTTTGTTTTTTACTGAAATTGACTGCGTTGTATCCCAGAATACTGTTTAAACTGGTTGAATAGTCTTTGGTGATGGAGTGGTTCACCCACCAGACACTTGCCGCGTTGGTTCTGTTCCAAATCAGTGAGTGAAAGAGGTCTCCAAGGTGCTGTCTGCCTTTTTTTCCCCCTGAAGTCAGTGACACTGAACAGGATAAGCAGATAACGGAAAGTGGATGGAAACATCCTGAGTAAATGTAATAACTTCTCTACACTGCATAGTTTTAGCTCCTCACACTAAATTGGTGGAAAGAATTTGAGCATCTGTCTGGCATCTGTTCAAAACACAAAGAAATTGTAAAATCAATCACATATAGGAGATATACAGTCTTTGAATATTCACATGTAAAAGCTTCAATACTGACATCAACTGTAAAAAAAACGCATGACAATCTTTTTTACTGGGTGTCCCGGCCAGTGGTTAGCACGTCGACCTCACAGTGCAGAGGTCGTGGGTTCAATCCTGGCTCCGGCCTCCCTGTGTGGAGTTTGCATGTTCTCCTCGGGCACTCCGGTTTCCTCCCACATTCCAAAACCATGCATGGCAGGTGTATGGAACACTCTAAATTGTCCCTAGGTGTGAATGTGAGCGTGGATGGTTGTTCGTCTGTGTGTGCCCTGCGATTGGCTGGCAACCGGTTCAGGGTGTCCCCCGCCTACTGCCCGAAGACAACTGGGATAGGCTCCAGCACTCCCCGCAACACTTGTGAGGATCCGAAAATGAATGAATAATTTTTACTAGGGTTTGCTTAACTTTCATGCTTAAGAGCTACATTGGAGTTTTCTTTAATACAACTTCACTTTGTTTTTCTAATCAATATGTAATTAAAAACGGAAGTAGTTTTATTTTTGTTTATTTAATCAATTATTAGATGACCATTTTAAATCATGCAACAAGCGTTACAGGGATCTTGCTACTTTAACTGCCCTCCCATTACCCCCCGACCTCGCATTGTACTACAATGAGATTCATACTTGTAATTTTTCAACTATTCTAATGAATGTCGAGTATATCTGGCACATATTTATTTTACGTCATAAACGGGGCCAATCCGTGTCGCCATGAATTTATTTTGACCTATCTCGCTTGCCGTCGTTTGTTTTGGGACTTTTAAGGACATGCAACAAAAAACCCAGCCGCTGGGGAGAAGTGCCCTCCCCTGGGGGTACACTGTTCCCCGGTGCCGGTCCCAAGCCCGGAGAAATGGGGAGGGTTGCGTCAGGAAGGGCATCCGGCGTAAAACTTTTGCCAAGACGGACATGCGAGTTGATAGGGCGGTTTGCAGGGACGGATGGGAATTAATGACTCGCTGTGGCGACCCCTGGAAAGGGACGTGCCGAAAGGAGAAGAAGAAGAAGGACATGCAACAAAAATGAGACCTTCCAGCAATCTGGGCACCTGAATTTAACTTTTTTGTTTTATCGCCGCGTCAATAAAGTTCTAATCCGGTCCGAATTTTGCACGAACATCCCATGGCTCTTTGGGTGAAGCTAACTGTAGCCGCGTTTCTGGCTTTCGCGTTTCACACATTCTCCGATTTGAGTCACATGCCCATTCTCTACAACAGACAGGTTCGAAATGGCGAGCCATTTAAAAGCACCGTCCGCGATAGACTCGAACCACGGGACTATTATTTGGCCGTCCAACCCTCGCGTTGCAATATGTCTCCGGAAAGTCGCTTCGACTGTGCCCGGGACCGAGCGCTTAGTCGCCGAGAGTGTGAAGAGCGGGCTTGTTGTTACTCTCCTCTCAACGACTCGTCAAAAGCTCCGTGGTGCTTCTACCCTTATTCCTACCCTGGCTACAAAATGGGTGTCTTGACGCCTACCGAGCGAGGCCAGGCTGCCACTTTGACCCGGGCCTCCCCCTCTTACCTACCTCGAGATGTGGCCACTCTCCACCTGGAAGAAAGTCAAGAGTCTGAAGGCTGCTTGCGCCTCACTGTGAGAACCAGCCGCCCTTTGACAAATTTTCTAATCCCAATTTAACTAATAAATAAATGCTTCCTATGCAGTTGAAGGATCGATGGTCGGACCGGTATGAAGTTGAACTCCTAACTGGAGTCCCTCAGGGCAAAATTAGTCGTCAAGATGCCCTGTATACCACTGAGTACCAGTCCAACCCTTTTGGATTGGTTGTGAGGCGGGCATCCAATGGAAGGGTCATGTGAGTATGTAAAGCACAAGTAGATACTGTTTTGCTTTGTCAGCAGTTTCAAATGTGTAAACCAAAGTGTATGAACTAAAATAGACATGCTGAGTAGATTTTTAAACTGCTGTCACATTTTTTAACATTTAAACGAAACAAACAAACAACAAAAAAAAAAAAGAAAACCAACGAGACCAAGATAAATAATGTGAAAACCTTTCCCACCATTCATGTGACTTCTACTGTGTAGAACTTATTTTAAGTTTGTTTTAATGTTTTCAAGAGGGGAAGTAAAAATAAACTGATACAGTAATCTGGTTGCAAAAGTGTGCCCAACCTTGTCATAATGGGCTGTTGCTCCATTTAGGCTTAACTACATTACATTCAAACTCTTGTTCAACTGGGAAGTTCCTCTGATTAATCCCTATTGTAGTTGTGCTGTATTAGCAGGATTTTTTTTTGTGCTCATCCTGATTTATGTTTGGAGTGGTTCAAAATTTTACCCCACCAGTTCCAACTTCTTTATGCATGTATACATTATATAATAATAATAATAATAACAATAATAATAGCAATCCTCATTTATCCCCCCCACCCCTCATTTAGCATGAATAGCACGGTGGCCCCTCTGCTTTTTGCTGACCAGTATCTGCAGTTGTCCACCACTCTGGCCTCCTCGCTGGTGTCAGGCCTCGGGGAGCATTACACGTCTCTCCTCCTGGACCTTAACTGGACCTCCCTGACTCTCTGGAACAGGGACATGGCTCCTCATGTGAGTACGCTGGACTCATTTAATATCAACATTGTATGGTTAGATATCTGTAAATCACAACTCATAATCTCAAGAGAGAAACTAATCATATAAAGTGCTGAGTGCAATAATGGACTGTCCCTGACAGTATATGGCAAAATTGGAATTAAACTTTCATTGTGACCTGTACTAATCTGTAAAATATGCATTTTCTCCCATCCATTTTGCACTTAAAAATCTACACTGTAGTGAGAGTTTACTGAACTCTTTCTTTTTCTGCAGGCTGGTGCAAACCTATATGGCTCGCACCCATTCTATGTGGTACAGGAGGGGGACGGACTGGCCCACGGGGTGTTCCTACTCAACAGCAATGCCATCGGTGATGACTTTGTTCAACAAGAGCGAATTTTCACACATTTTCTCCTAATTCTCCATGTGTGTCTACATGTGTTTCCAGAAGTCATCTTGCAGCCTCTGCCAGCTCTGACGTGGGTGTCCACAGGTGGAATCCTAGACCTGTACATTTTAATGGGTCCCGACGCGCAGACCGTTATACGTCAATATCTGCAAGTTATCGGTACGGGACGCCAAGTCGGAAGCGACTCCCCGCAAATAAGTGTGTTAAAAGAATTCTTTAAAAAAATATTCTTCCCTAGGTTATCCCATGATGCCTCCCTATTGGTCGTTGGGCTTCCACCTTTGTCGCTGGGGCTACAAAAGCACTAATATCACTCGGCAGGTGGCTCGGCGAATGCACGATGCTAACTTCCCCATGGTACCTTCATGTTACATGAACCTGATGTTAGACCAACATTACGCTTTACAAAGATGAGCACAAATTTAACAGTTGATCATAAAAAATTAACTATCCAATACAATAAGATAAACGTACAACTCATTTTTATGTAAATTATTACCAATACTCAATGAATAACAGTATACCGGAATGTGTTTATTGTATCTTACTTTGAAACGGTATTATTTTTCAAACGTTTGATACGTATAGATACATTCTGTTTGTTGTTCCATGACATTGCATTGTATTGTTTTATATGAATCAAAAGTACTACAAATGAAATTAACAATGCTGCACATTCATCCAATATTTGTTGTCATCTGGTAAGAAGCGCCTTCTTGGCAACTATTTTTTTTCTTTTTTTTTAAGGATGCAGTGGAATGACCTGGATTACGCAGACAAAGGTAGGATCTTCACCAATGACCCCTTGCAATTCGGGGACATGACAGAAATGGTGGAGGAATTTCACCTAAGAGGCTTGAAGTACGTCCTCATCCTGGTGAGGGACATTTTCAACCATCTGCTAACTATTTCCTCCCAGTAGGTGGCGATCTGACACTTCCTAAAATATCGTGTGGGTCTTCCGTGTAGGATCCTGGGATCAGTACAACTTCTCCTCCAGGAATGTACCGTCCCTTCGATGATGGACTCAAGCGAGATGTATTCATCAAAAATGCCACCGGTCAACTCTTAATAGGCAAGGTTAGATTTTAGTCTTGAATGAAGCATGTGTCAAGAGTTGTGAAATAAACCCATGTGCCTTCAGGTTTGGCCTGGTGCGACGGCGTTCCCTGACTTTACCAACCCGGAGACCAGACGGTGGTGGGAAGACTTAATTGTGGAGTTTTATTCGAAAGTGCCAGTAGATGGATTATGGATTGTAAGAACACACACACACGCACGCACACACACACACACACACACACACACACACACACACACACACACAGATGTGAATGTTTGATTTATTGAAGACAGGAATTGTCCTTTCTGTGAGTCTGAGTCTGAATGCTTGTTTGTTTATACGGGCCTTGTGATTGGCTATCCAAATTCACATTCCACACAGGACATGAACGAACCAGCCAGTTTCGTTTCGGGCTCACTGGAGGGTTGTCCTGACACAGAGCTTGAGAACCCGCCGTACACACCCAGTAAGTTCGCATCACGACTCCCCTTGTGTGATCATCTCATAAAGTACGTACTATCGATATAATAGATTTAGATCAGAACAAAACAGTGTATGACATACATGATTGATATCACGTTCATGTGTATGGTAAATATTTGTGTGTGTCCCCCAAACAGGGGTGGTCGGAGGCCGCTTGAGTGCTTTCACTATTTGTATGTCGGCTCAGCAAAATGTATCCACTCACTACAACCTGCACAACATGTACGGACTGACTGAAGCTTTTGCCACACACAGGTTGGTTAAAGCAGCTCAGTGTTCCTCGGCTAGATTACGCTTCATCGTTTACGCCCTTCTATTGCATGGTTTATGATAAGGCAACGTCTTTTGGGGGTTTTTGGTCATCATTTTTTGAGTAAAATACCCTGCAATGTGGGAAAGGAGAGCAATGCATTCCGCATGTAAATGGACTTTGAGACCAAATGAAAGGACTATTATTAAGGAGCATCTGGAGCTCTCTGGAACACACTCGTGGACGCACACAACGTTGTGGAGTGGTCACATGTCGATACGTACTGTCATGTAGCATTAACACCGCACGCAGGAGACTTTTTACCTTGAATTATTTTTGGCTGAGGTGGGTTTTTTTGAAGGGAGTCCACTGATTAAGGAAATGTGATATGTGTGTTGTGGTATTACAGCGTACGATTGTCATTGGCAGAGCTCTGGTAAAAGCGCGCGGGAAGAGGCCATTTGTCCTGTCTCGCTCTTCCTTCCCAAGCATCGGACGCTTCTCCGGAGTGTGGACGGGAGATGTTAGAAGCAACTGGGAGCAACTTGGATATTCCATCCCTTGTGAGTAGATGCGTGTTTGATGCACTTAGGAAAAGCGGAGGAATCCCAGCCTCTATGCAAAAATAGCCAGCAAAATGCACTCGATGACCGATTTAGCCACTAAGGGACCGTATAACACAAGTGACTCAGTAAGCTACAGTAACATTAGCCGTTTTTTTTTTGTTTTTTTTTTTTGCCAAGCATGAAAAATACATGCCTGGGAAAATCTGGACTTTTTTTAGGCTGATGTTTGTGTTCAGCGCTGTGACATCAAAGCTATTTGTTGGCCCGTTGATGGAGCCTTGCAGTGTGTGTTAACGTTAAGCTAGCGAACCTTTCTTAAGGTTGTGATTGTATTTGTGATTGTTTTGAATACGCGGCTAATCTGGACCTTTTTTTTTTTTTTAGGGTGATGCTACTGTTTGTGTTCAGCATTGTGACATCAATGCTATTTGTTAGCCCGTTGATGGAGCCTTGCAGTGTGTGTTAGTGTTTAGCTAGCGAACCTTTCCTAAGGTTGTGATTGTTTTGAATAAACGGCTAATTTGGACTTTTTTTTTTTTTTTTTTTTTAGGCTGATGCTACTGTTTGTGTTCAGCGTTGTGACATCAATGCTATTTGTTAGCCCATTGATGGAGCCTTGCAGTGTGTGTTAGGGTTAAGCTAGCATACTTTTCCTAAGGTTGTGATTGTTTTGAATACGCGGCTCTTCTCTGAAGAATTGTTCGCTCTGCCAAAATGCTGCTTGTGGAAGTGTGTTGAGTTGAGTTCACTGACACCATCTAGTGCTCAATTCTTACATTTTTGCTCACAAGTCAAGGCAAACATTCAGATGAACGACGGCTCGCATCTCGAAACACTCCAGGCTGCAGCACCATTGTGACCTCCGACTGTGTTAACATTGTGCACATTTTCCACTCAGCGGTGCTGAAGTTCAGCCTCTTCGGGGTGCCCCTGGTCGGCGCGGACATCTGCGGCTTCGGGGGTGACACCACCGAGGAGTTGTGCGTGCGCTGGATGCAGCTCGGGGCCTTCTACCCCTTTATGAGGAACCATAACGATCGGCAATATGCTGTGAGATGCACACACATCGAAATTGACGAATTGTATTCTTGTATGTTTTCTCATTTGGCGTCCTAACGGTCGCACTCCACAGCCTCAGGAGCCTTTCGTATTTGGCCAGAAGGCCCAGGCGGCCATGCGGAGTGCGCTGAATCTTCGTTACTCTCTTCTGCCGTTTCTCTACACGCTCTTCCATCACGCGCACACCTCTGGAGACACGGTGGCCAGGCCTCTCTTCATGGAGTATGTCTTACGCACTCAGATTTCTGTTCACTCTGTTCACAGCAGGCATGGTCATTGGCTCATTCTTTGTTGCATGAATTAATAAATTCACGACCAACAGTTTTAAAATCAGCGGTCCCGGTTTTGTCAGCTGTATTGCGTTCTGTGACAACCGATGCACTGAACCTACTTAAGATTAGAGTCTCTTATATCCCCAGGGAAAAAAAAAAGTTTTTCTACTTATATTCCTTTTTTAGTAATCTGCTATAGAACATGGTTGGTTTCAACAAAACCCAACCGTGGTTTGTTTTGTTTTGTGAAACCGAACATGACAAGCAGAGACTGTGATGGTAATAGTTTTGGCTTTTGTGACACCTCAAACTATAAACCAAAAAAAAACAAGACCGAGCAAGGAAAAATAGAAATACTAACGAACCATAGTAAACAGAATGATGGCAATATAGTCATTTATTTACAGACACACAATTAAGAAATGTGTCATGACTGACTCATCACGCGGTTCGAGTTGAACGTCCATGTTTTACATGGCTTTTTTCACCCCCCCCATCAGCTGGCTCATCTTTTCTCACGATTGTGACACACGCTTTGGTCATTTCAGGTTTCCCACTGACCCTCACTGTCAGATCATAGACCGACAATTCCTCTGGGGGAGTTCTCTCCTTATCAGCCCAGTCCTCAAGGAGGGTGCCATGGAAGTGGCCGCTTACCTGCCTCCCGGCATCTGGTACAACCTGCACAGTGTAAGCTGCGGTGCTTTGCTTCATGAATTGCACTCAGTCGCATTATCACATGATCAAATGTTCTGTTTTTTTTTTTTTTTTTTTTGTCAGGGTCAGGCGTCGTACAGTACAGGCGAGTACCTGCTTCTGTCTGCCCCGCTGGACACCATTAACGTCCATTTGAGGGAGGGGCACATTGTGCCCCAGCAGGTTAGTGTAACACATAGTGCAAGTACATCGCAACAAAGTTTGCTCTATTTCCCTGAAAACGTTTTGGATTAAGACAAAAGAGAGAGTTTAGTTTCTGAAATGCGCGAAGTATTTAAATTTTGTGAATGCCAAACTCCGAATATGCGCAGGGATTAAAAAAAAAAATCACAGTGTAGTTACAAGTGCCGAGTCTATTAAAAGGATAAGGATGGTCAACACAGTATGTTCATAGATTTTGCAACTGAATGAAATAATAAAGTCGTTTATTTTACCAAAACGCCATCTGCTGGTTATACTGGGGCACTGCCCTAAATGACCCCTGGTGACAACAAAACAACATTTAATAAATAATATCGAACGCAGATTTATAAATGTATTATTCAATAAAAGGACTTGTTCTGACAATGGGGCTGAAAAAAAGTGCAAAATGTTTGAAGAAGTGAGACTGGTCAAAATATGCCGATTTTAGATGAATGACGTTTAGAAGGTGCCATCTATTTTTAAGTCTTCGTTCTGTGCTGAATCACTGTGGTGTGTTGAACTGGTTTATCTGGTTGTCTCCACTTAACTTCTGTAATGACATCAAGACATTTGGGCTTATGGAAGCGTTTCCTTGAGAATGTCGAATTACTGCTGTATCATTCTCTCGGTCCTCTCTCTTAAAGGAGCCAGCTTTAACGACAACAGTCTCGCGCACAAACCCCTTCCTCCTGACGGTGGCGCTGTCAGCGGGAGGCT